TATATATATGTATGTATGTGTATATATATGTATGTATGTGTATATATATGTATGTATGTGTATATATATGTATGTATGTGTATATATATGTATGTATGTGTATATATATGTATGTATGTATTGATTTGAAACAAAACATGTTTAATTCAGATGTGATTGTTTTTAAAATTATTCGAAATACATAAAAGTCATTTTGAGTGTTCTAAAAAACTTGCTAATTTATTTTAGAAATAAAAAAATATAAAATATAAAAAAACATATTAAACAAACATGTTTTTAAAATAAAAGAAAAAACAAAGACAAGAATAAAAAACAAAATTGATCCCAACAAGCCCTAAGAAAATACTGATATAGCATCATTTAAATGTGTTTCACATGCTAACAAGCAGAAGCTCAAAACTGTAAAAATGCAAAAAAACAATGCCAGGAATCTATTCAATGATAATAAGATAGCAATTAGTTTTGAAGAATGATGATAAATCAATAACATCATGAATGAAATTAAAGCATATGCTGTGGAGTTGTCAAAGTTGTATGCTTCATCAATTCTCCAGTTACATTTAAGTACAGTACTAAATGTTATTAGAGGCAAGTTACATATATATCACCCAATTCTTATCTATTTACATAACAAACACCTAAAATTTGAATTTTACAATTATAGCACCAAAATATTTCGTATCACGACAAAATAATCACTACTTTTAACTTTTAAAGAGTGAAATATACTTTTCATGCATAAGTAAAGTGGCGTATATGTAAATATGAAGTTTAGGTGTTTGATATTTAAATACTTGAGTGGTATGCATGTAAATCTTCCATGTTATAATTAGTGCCTTGTTGGAGTCCTTAATGTTATAATCTTACTAAGATGCCTCAAAGTTTCTATGCTGGAGATTGGCAATAAAGAATCTTCATTGTGCCCAAGTTCTTCTCTATCCACAATCATGTTATCATTACTTTGTTGTGGAGGATGTAGACAAGAAACTAGTTGTGCAGAAAAAATAAATACAGTCCATATCCATTGCTTCCTTTTTATTTGAGTAAAGTGCCAAAATAGTCTAAGGCAATTTACATGAAGCCATTTTAATCCTAGAGTTTATAAAAGTGTAAAAATAGTCCCCAACTATTTTAAATTGAGCTCTAATAGTCTTTCATGGGACTATTCCCGTCCCAATTTAAAACGTCTGAGACAATCTAAGCATTTCTATAAACTCTGGGAATAAAACGACCCAATGTAAATAGTCAGGGATTATTTTGGTACTATACTCTGTTTTACATTGTTTAAATTGAAATAAATCCTAATTTTCCAAATGTAATCATACGATACCTTAACATTAATGAGAATCTATATTTAAGTAACAAACCTTAATCCTAGGTTTATTTGCTAGCCTTATCATTTTCTAGCTAATTATTGCGCAGACAAGATAATAACTCTCAGTCATATTAAGCCATGCCGAATTCATGTTAATTAGAGATAAATAATGAAGGTTTCTAATGGATAGACTCATTCTAGAATTTTATTGTATAGGTGTTCCTTTTCTGGTTCTATTGTTGTGGTTGCCATCCAGGACTGTGACAGGTATAGAGGATAAGTTCTATCAGCAACATCCTCTTTAAGTATTATAAAAATTATAGGGATTATTTGCAACTTCTTTAGGACTGTAGTGACAGCGAATGCTCGTGATTTGAGTCTAGTAATTCATACATTTCCTCGTTTGTAGGGCTGTTAGGTTTGATTATATTTGACAAATGTAAATAATGATCTACCGTCTGTAGAGAAAATAGTCTACAACAACAACAACAACAACAAAGCCTTAATCCCACTACATGTGGATAAAAAGTGGAAGGGGAAAAGTGGGCCGCGGGGTTGAACCTGCAGCCCGCATTTAAGCAAAATCGCGGGGCACCGCGGCTGCCCCGATGCCCCAAACACTAGAAAATAGTTTAGTAGAAAAAGAAAAAAAAACTTTGCTTAAATGTGCAAATCCTTCTACTTCAGAGATTCAATTCCTTGATTAAGTGCAAAACTTGAGATTCTGGGACAGGCTATTGACTTGTACAAGTGTGACTTGATCTTTTAATGAATTGCCCTTTCCCCCTTGCCTTGGTGATCATTTTCTCATAATCAATTACGAGTGTAATTAAGTTTTGTCGAACTTGTTACAATATAATTTTCTTTTATTTTCGTGAGAATTCAATCTAGTGCGGCTTTTGTGATTCAGAGAGGGGATCATGAATTTTTTACATAATTGTAGAAACGACTCATTAATGACAACCAACTACTCAGTTCACCGCAGATAGTTTCTAATAACCTATGCCTTCCATACCTTTCAGATCCAATATGTATAGTACCTACATGTTGAGGCCCGGGCTCATCTGTATCAGTTGCACAACAGCAAAATTGAGGCAACTTATCAGCAGCAATATTAATTTTTGTTGTTGCCTGGATGTTCAAAGAAAAAAAAAAATTAATAATAATTTAAAGCATTTATGTGCACATATGAGCAAAACTTCTAAAATGAATTAGAAGCAGCGAGTAGAAGTCATGAAATTAGTCCTCACCGAGCTGTAATCACAATTTTTAATAGCTTGGAGAAATTCTTCTGGAAGTATACCAGAAGGAACTAACTCCTGCACTGCAGAAAGTTACAATAAGTAAGAGAAAAGTGTTTGCAGGGGGCCATTTTAATCCCAGTCTGTAAAAATGTTAATTGTAGTCCCCAGGCTTTTTGAATGGAGTTTAAAATAAAAGAATATGAGGACTAATTTGACACTCGTAGATCTAGAGACTAAAATGACCCCATATATATAGTCAAAGGACTATTTTGATACTTTATTCCAATAAAAAAATAAAGTGATATGCTGGTGCCCAGCCCAAGGAGTAAATTAGTCGTTTATTAGCCTAAGTGGGATCGAGTCCTTTATTATTTATTATTATTTAGTACTATATAGACCCTAAAAAATTTAGGGTTAGAATATGCATGATATTAACTCTTTGAATCTTGGGGTTTGAGTTTAGGGAGATTTGCTACCTCTCGAACTGTAATAACCGAAAGAGTTTGCCTACCTCTCAAATTGTAGGTCTTATCTTTATGCATTCGTGTTGAGTTGTTTCTTATTCGTGCAATAAAATATTTTGTGCCATAAGTTCTGTAAAAAATCATCACCAGTTCCTAACAATTGGTACCAGAGCAATCGACCTACGAGAAACAAACTATGATCTACGTGATAAGTTCTTACAGAGTTCTAGATTGGGATCGAAAAGCACAAAGTCGCAGCAAATAGCACCTCTTCACCCAGAGAACAACGGATCGCATGCAAGAGTCCACAATCTGAACGATCTGGCAAACAGTTGTCGGGAATGCACGATCCAGTCACGATAAACCATAGCTAGAAGCAATGCAATCAAGCAAAAAGAACGTCAGGATCTTGGCATACAGGGACACATGATCGGAGCCTCGTGACACAGTCTCAATTGGAGCTAGCTAGGAAGGAACAACGGGATTGCAACATACAATTAAGGTCTTCATCGATACACTTGCGATAAGAGCTAGCAAGGCACAAAGAAAGGATCACACCTTACGGGCACTGACATTTGTGATTCAATCGCACAAAATAGTTGTGATTGAGGAAGCACAGAAGGGTCATGACATGACCTGATATTGCGATAGTCATGATTGGAGCTAGCTTGGAAGGAATGACATGAACGTGGTGTTCAGGGACGTGAATAGACGATTTCATGGAAAGACCGCATGGAAGTCAAAGGATTCCTTCACGACGTAGAGTTACGTGCCGCTCTTGATCGAAACTGGCGATTGGGATTGCGACTAAAAGGAGTTTTGTGTAGGAAACTTGTTATTGGGATTTGCAACGTTTAGGAATTCGAATTGCGGTTTCCGGAGTTCCGCACATCTTCCAATAGTTAAACCAAACTATCCATAGAAATTTCAGGATGCGGTATCCACAGTTCCGCTCATGCCAGACTTGGGTTCTGAAAATTCAAATCTCATGATCTTAGGGTGTGTTTGGGGCGGCAATGCTGTGGTGGTGCTGTGCCGCATTGCAATTTTTTTGTTTGGCAAAAATGCGTTATGTTTGCTTTCTCAAAAAGTTACAGCGGAAAATTGTATTTTCTCACAAAACCTGGCTACCTGTGGTGGCTGCTAGAAAGCGGCGGTTTAACTTTTTCCAATTTTTTAATAATCGTCATAGTTTTTTAAACAACAATCTCTTCAGTAGTTTCACAGCTGCTTCTTCAAGCCAATGCAGCTGCCTCAAACAGACTCTTAGCGTAAAGGAGTTTCAAAACCATCCTGAGTAATGACAGCCAAAAAGTTGGGTGCTTTGGAGGAAAACTAGCAAAAGAGATCAGTCAAATTAGATCTGGAATAGAAAAACGTTTCTCGGCCTTGAAGGAGTGGTTGGAGGGGAGATTCACAACCCCAGAAAATATGATAAAGAAGTTTGCGGAGTCCCACACAAACCCTCCACCCGCTATAGTGAGATCGAGAGACAGTGTCTGGAATGGACGCAAGTGGTAGCAATCAAAAAAATTCGTGTGACACTAAGGCAACATAACTGTCTTAGGTGGATATGGAGCAACGAGATTGTGTGAAGTAATAGGAAGCAAACTTGAGCATCCGCATTTTGAAGGAATGACATGACCTCATAATGGCTGGAATGAGAGGCAGAAGGTAGAATAGGCGGCTCGCGATTCGAGGCAAGAGAGGATTGATTTGAAGGATTTCAACTTGGAATAGGGAACCATGATGGGCGGGACCCCGACAGAGGGCTACATCCAACAAAACCACTACCTTTTGTGGCAACAACATCTGGGTAGATGCGATTATGAAGCCTATGGGGGCGGGCGAGTTGATTATGAGGAGCGCTAGACTTATGAAAGAAAGGAAATTAATATGGGTCAAGGAACAAAAACCCACCCTACGTCATGGGAGGAATAAACTTTGTTCGAGAGAATCGGGGAAGAGACTTGCACATAAAGAAATCGAAGATGTCGATCTTTGAAGGAGATGATGCCTACAGTTAGGTTTATCGCATTGAGAGATATTTGTAGTTAATGGGTTAACAGAGGAAGAGAAATTGATTGAGGTGGCACTGTGTTTGGAAAGGAAGATTCTAGTGTGGTATCAATGGAGAGAACAACATCAATCAATTAGAACCTGAGAATAATTCATGGATCGATATTTGAAGCGTTTCAGAACCACTCGAGAAGGGGAATTACAAGAGCAGTTTTTTGCAATGATTCAAGAAAGGTCTGTCATGAAATATATGGAGAAATTTGAGATGTTATTTGGTCCTTTGATAGGGATGCAGGAAGAAGTGTTAGAAATCAATTTCATGAAAATGTTAAAGCCAGATATTCGAGTATCACTTTGTTTGTTGAGATCCCGAGAATTGGGAGAAATTATGGAATTAGCGCAATGGGTCGAAGATTAAAATGCAATGGATCGAGTTAATAGGAGCAGCGCAAGTAGAGTGTCACACTGCAATGTTACAATCATGATGATAACAAAAGCTAAACAGTGAAAATCCAGAGGGAGGCTTTATAAGATATGAATAATAGGCCACGACCATACGCGACAATCAAACGCCTTACAGAGGTAGAGATTCAGAAAAAACGAGCCAAGAAATTATTTTTTCGGAGCGAAGTCTTTCTCAGAGCGTTGCAAGGATCATACATTATAGATTCTCACAGTGTATGACGATGAGGAGGGGAATGCAGAAACAAGAAGACTAGGATGGAGGAAGAGGAAGTATTATTGAACTCAGTAGTATGATTCACACTAAACCACACTATGAAACTTCAGGGAAGATCAGAGAGCAGGACGCACTTTTGTTGATAGATAGTGGGTCACCCACAACTTTATTCTAGTCAAATAGTGAAGCAATTAGGGTTTGAGATGGTGAACACAAAAAATTTTGGAGTCATGATGGAGACGTGACAGATGGAGAAGAGCAGGGAGTTTGTAAATGAGTGATTTTAACGCTGTCATATATCCGGGTGATGGAAAAGTTTCTTCCCTTTGATTTAAGGACCAATGATATGATATTAAGTATGAAATGGTCGCAATCCATAGGGGAGATTAAGATGGATTAGAAATTTTTTATAATGGAGTTCCAGGAGGGAGACAAGACGTTGGTGCTTCCCAATGACCCTAGTTTGTGCAAGACCCTGGTGTTAACGGATCCTTCAAAGGTAGCAGATAGGATGTAGGTTCCATTGCCCAAGACCTGGAAGGGGTTGAGAAGGTTTAGGGGACTTAAAAGATACTATCGAAAGTGTGTGAAGGGTTATATTGCATATGTGTGGTCGTGGATGATGAAATTGGAGAAGAATAACTTTTAGAGGGGGAAGTGACGACCTAGACTTTTGAGAAGTTGATGGCCATGAAGAGTGTGGTAGATCTAACGACAAGAACCAGACTCAAGCCAGTTTATGAGCGAGGGTCATACGAATTGATTCAGTCACAATTTTTTCACCTTGAGGTAAGGTGTCATTTTTGGAGAGGAGTATTATTATGTTGGTGCCTAACCTAAGGACAATTGAGTCTTTTATTATTTATTATTGTTTAGTATAAATAGACCTGTTGACCTCATTTTTAGTGAGGTCTTAGTCTCCTACTCTTAGAACCTAGGATCTAGCTTTAGGAGTTCTTCTGACCATCTTAGCAGACTAGTAATAGAGCCCACGTCCCGTAGAACTTCAAACCACTTCTTGACTCATTTTTGTGAAGAACTCGCATGAGTGGTTCCAAACACTCAACTTCCAGTTGCAAGGGCTAAGGACCAACATGTAGAGGGCCTGAAAATGAGTTCCTATAGGATCAAACAACATTAGGTGAACCCTTTGTGACTCGATTACTCGTGAGCGCCGCAATTCATGCATTCTCTGCACCACACACGACTTTGACTTGAATTGACTCGCCCGCTGGCAAACTCGTCCGGACGACCCCAGATGATAAAATGGACCGCGTCGACGCATCCGGAACGTCAATTTTAGCTAGGAAGGACACCCGCATTGTTATGGTTTCGAGCGCAAACGACTAGCACGGATATCGATGCATTTTTTTAGCGGTGCGCGGGCCCGGGCTCCACCCAGGTCTGACTCGGGTTCGATTCAGGCTCGATATGGATTAAGCACGGGCTAATTACTTCAGCTCAGAAATTTCAAAATTCAAAATTTAAATTTCAAATTTATCATTTAATTTCCCCCATAAAGCTTTTCCAATTAAGCTGACTGCCAGAAAGGAAGGTATTCAATTCCTCGCCAAAGCTTTGAATTGAAGTAACGGCTCGCTCACATTCGGCTATACGAATTGGCCTCGACAGAAACAGAAAAAAAAACACGCCTGCTCGATCCCGTCTCTGTATTTCGCCTCTTCCTCTGTCATTCCCGAACGCCTGCTCCTGCTTCTGCTCGATATCGCTCGACAGAGACCCTCGCCTCCCTGCTTGCACTCGACTGAAGACTTCCCCTCGCTCGACAGAAACCTCGTTCGACACCTGCTCCGCTCGACCCCGCTCGCCTGCTCCCCCCTCCCGC